ATACTTCTTTGAGAGAGAACTTCTAGAAGTAGCTAATGAATTCCAAAACCTGAAGAAAGGAGAGATGAGCGTAACAGATTATATTACAGCCTTTCTGAAAGGATGGAGTTAGTCCCTTATTTATTCCTAATGAGCTCTCCAAGATATACAAGTTTTCTAATGGATTACGAAAGGATTTCATCCCTTTGGTCAAAAGCACAAACACCTTGGAAGTAGCCATGCAAGTGACCAGATCCTTGGAATTCATAATTGAGGGAAGGACCACCGACAAAGTGGAAGTTGGAGAGAAAAAGAAGGGTGTTGGAATTCTGAAACCCAATAAGAAAGGTAGATTTCTGAAATATGTGTTAGATTAGTGTCTAAGTCCATAACTATATTTGGTGTGTACTTGACCCGATTGGCATGGTCCATTTGGGTTGCATGGAATCATGCATTTGGATAAACTAAAATGAGAGAAATAACACTTAAGGTTTACTAATATATTATAAGTTCGAATATATTAATAAGATTATTTAATTAGTATTGATCTAGAATTAATTTGGAATTAATTAAGTGATCAAAAGGAGACTAATTAAATATATGGTTTGATTGTGTAAATCATCCATACTTGTATAGTGGGCTAATGCTCCATGGATGCTCCATTGTGTTTTTTGTACCCATAAATCATGGAAATGAAAGGCCATGACAATTAGGGTTTACATGGTGTAACCCTAATTGTGACACACTATATAAGCATCTTATTATTCCCAAAATCGGTCACTATGATGGAATGGTGGGGGCTAGACGATTTCATGAAGTGTCTCATTTCTCTCAAGTTATTCTAAGTGTATTTGGTGTTGTGTGAACCATTTGAGGTGTCACACTTGGGGCACTAGGCTCTTAAGCTCCATGGAATCAAGCTACATCAAAAGCTATGTCTTCTAACTTATATTATTCCATATGAATCAATGTTTTGTATGCTAGTTAGGATAATACCTTGGAATATTCATATTTGCATGTATAATGGAGAAAACATAGATCCAAGGTATTTAGTGTTGCATGTACACTTAGGAGTGTTAGAATGCTAAAAACCCAACAATATGACCCCAACAGCAAGAAGCTTGAAGATAATAATGAAGCAAGATGGTGCAAATAATGTAGAAGGAAGCACTTTGGCCAATGCAAGGAGAAAATGATCTGCTACAAGTGCGGATGGACAGGTCACTATTCAGATGAATGCAAACATGAAAACATAGTGTGTTTCGAGTGTAGAGAAGAAAGTAATATTTCAAAGGACTGCCCAAAGAAGAAAGGAGTTGCACGAGCATTACAAAAGACTCTAAAGCTAGTAAAGGAAGAAGCAGATGGCGCTTCAGGAAGTAAGGGATAGGAAGCTACCCATGTTCAAAGTAGTTAGCCCTCATAGATAATATTGTAGCATGTAGCCTAATAAATGAGGCATTAAGCGTAATAAACGTTGAAGGTGATTGTAATCATTTCTAAAGTAATAAAATCTATGAATATATATTTTACACCATTTATTGATTCATGTGTGGAGTAACTTGGGGAAACTGTGAGACTACTTTTGGGATGAGTATGAGTAGGTGTGGAAGGTAGTATGGGCTCATACTTCCCAAAGCACATGACTTGTACTTGGATGAGAATGAGTCACAAGGTTACTAAGTCTCTAAGTCGTTGAGCTATTTTATTTATTTCCATTATTACCTTGGTTTTGGTAATGACTATGAAGATAAATATTCCATCCTTAGTGGTCATATCTAATCAAGTCCGACTAATCTACGATGAAGGTTTGACGTAGCATCCGATTTTAGATTGAAGGAAATAATAATCGAAGCGATCGATAGAAGTATTGTAGTCACCGATAGGATTAAGTATGCAGTAGCTAGAAGTGCTACATGATACAATGTGAATATATTATGTTAGAACATGAAGGAAGGTATCTTTCGTGTTATAGTCCGATTCAAAGAGACCTGAATCTAGTCCTTGCGTCATATGATGGAAGGTCATTAGAGCATGACTATTCGGTATGTTATGACAGTCAAAGTAAAGGAATTATGATATAAAGCACCACTAACAATTATGAAGTCTAAGAATTGAAAACTCAATAGAAAAGACATAGACTTATAATTATTACCTAGGATGGAAAGGTAATGTGCGGAGTCATTATAAATATGGAAAGGTAATGTGCCGAGACGCAATCATCCTAAGGGGAGATAATTGTAACTACCGAAGATTCGGTCTAGTTAATTAAGATATGATTAGCATTAAAAATGAATTTTTGATAGATGTTTATTTAGGATAAATAATCTTAACTAAGTTGTAGCATAAACGACAAGGTTCCATACATATAAAGAATGCTGAAATCCGACTTCATACGAAGAAGTTATGCTTCTTCAAAGTTTCATGATTAAATCGGCACGGCTCTACGTATCGTAAAAAGTGAAATTTTGATAAATTACTTTACAGCCTAAGTGATCTAAATGAAAGTCGCAGTAGTGATTACACCAAGAGCGTGCATATGGAGAACATCAAAATCTGACTTTGATAGAAGAGGTTTTGATTTTTCAAAGATTCAGCGCAGCTGTGTTCGGAAAAACAATCTAAATGAGAGTCAAAGATCTTGTCATTACCTATCCATCAATATAAAGATAGTTGAGAACGAATATAGTATATGAGAGTGATGATTTTTTTATACGGACTTTAACATCCTCAACCCGTTTAAAATATAGATTTAAAGATAATGTCAAAATTAGCCGACAGAGACTAAAAAAAGTTGTAGATCTTGTCGGTAACTACGTGTGGATATAAAGAATGTCAAAAACAGTGTTCGTATGAAGAAATTACGATTTTTTGAAGTTTCTCGAGTGCACCTCGCGCAAAAGAGGACGAACACACACCTTCCTAAAGCTACCATGTAACACCACCCGAATCAGGATACATGTCGGCAAGCGAGAAGAGTAACATGCTCGAAGTGCGAGATCCGAACTTCAGTTGCACAACGTGCAGATGGCCTATGAATAGATGAACTTGCTCCATTTTTCCTCGACAAAACAACCATACATTCCCACCAATTCTCTCCCAATTTATTTCGATTTAAGCCCCATTTCCCCTTAGTTTTAAGTATCTAGCAAAGCCATGAGGTCCTAGAAATCCCAACATCTAATAGCTAGCAGGTTAGAGCTCTGCCTGTATAATTTCCAGAATTTTGTCTAGGAAACCTCTGTAAGTTAAATTACATTCAACTTTATTTTAAGGTAATTTATATTAATAGTCATAATAATGATTCCAAGTCATAATAATGATTGATCTACTTATAGGAGAGGTGTATAGAATGGTCACGTTGACTTGGTTGATGGATTTCAGAAAGAATATTATGCCGAAATGATCCTTCCTCACAAATGTCCTGGCTGGTTGATCCTTATGTAATAGAACTCTCGGTATTCGTTAGGATCAGTGAGAAATCTAGACTACCATTAATGGTCAAATAATAATTAGACTAAGACTTAATAATGACTATATAGGTCATGTCAGAGGAAAAGATAAATTACCAAAGCGATGTTCTGCCCAAATTCTGTGGCATCCACTTTTATCATGTGAGTGCATAGCCTCTTTCATGAACATGATTTAATACAAGTATTAAATAAAATATTAAATATATGTTGTAAGTTGTATCTGAATTATATATATATATATATATATATATATATATATATATATATATATATATATATATATATATATATATATATATATATATATATATATATATATAGATATATGACATGTTATGTGAGAACCAAATATGGTTCTATTTTAGATTAGGATAAATTGATAATATTATAATATTAGAAGCAACATTACTTAGAAGATAAATGAATAATAATACGTAATACTCTTTATCGAATATATATATATATATATATATATATATATATATATATATATATATTTATATATATATATATATATCTATATATATCTATATATATATATATCTATATATATATCTATATACACTCTAAAGATAGGTTAGTGTAGCCCAATAATAAAGTTTGTATTAGAAATTGGTTACAAGCATTGTAATCTAGTCTAGGGATAAACTTAGATTTATGGAAGATACCTAGTTCAATTAAGTTTAACATTGTGTAGTCTCATTAGCACAATGTGCGTAAGCGAGGAACGAAGAGTAAAGTTCTGTTCGATGACACTTTCAGGTGTCGATGTATGGTAGCTCCATACGGCAATACATTATAGTATTCCCCTTGGATGACCAGAAGTGGTGGGTCCAAATCAGATAATTGTAATGGTATCTCTGGTTACTTCTCAGAGTAAGTGACAACACTTGATCATTCTAGAAAGTCTTATGAATTACGTTGCCAGTGTAAGCTCATTACTTATAGAAGTAGATGAAATGGGATACCATATTCATTAAACACTTTGCTGGTTCATGTGCCTTATGACTTACACTTGCCTAGGAAGCCCCTAATTGTGTAGTCAAACCTTTTAACGGTTCATCAGGAAAGATAATTTCTTCCTGATAATTGTGGACTAGGATCTGTGAGGATCGGTAAGAATGGATATGTTGGAATGTAAGCCTATATGGATATTTTATGGTAATGGTTGGTTTTGCAGGTCAGATAATTAAGGAATATTATCATATCAACATTGTGGGCTTGAAATCCCTATGTATCCCACCAAGGTTCCCTAACCAGACCCACTCAGTTTATATGCATCATAGGTATCACGACTTAAGCTACTGAAACATGATTAGGATTCTGAGTGATTAAGACATAACCTATAATAGTATTTAGGACCATCCGTTCTTTACGTTGTAACTTATGTATCATTATTGATTATGACATCCTTAGGGTATTTAACATTTTGGAAACAAACATTTGTAATCAAAATGATCTTGTTGTATTGGTATTTTCCGCAAATATAAATAAATAATTTTTAAAGAATAATCAAAAGTTTTAATTGGTTCTGAAAATTAGAAGATGTCACAGTATGATAGTCGAAGTTGGTGGTGGTGACGAAGGTGGTGTTGGTGGAAGAGTTGTAGTATGGATAGTAGATGTCGAATTCTCCTCATCCGAAGTTTCATTTGAGTCATTATTAGATAAGTTCGTAGGGATATTTGTAGACCTACCTTCCTCCATATTGGAATTGGAAATAGGACTTTCGGGTGGAGTGACAACAATATTCTCAGGAAAGGAAGTAATGTTTGGTTTACTAGAATTGATTCTTGTATTCATATTAGATGCGTTTACAGTGACATCAGGATTGCTTGTCTCCTCGATATTCGATTGAGGAGACATGGAATGCCTGATCATGGAATGCATGATCATCATTTCTAAGAACTTCATATTACGTGTATTTGCTATCGTTGTCTGCTTCAAAAGTATTTGGTATTGACGAAGCTTTGGCATAAGGCTCTTCGACTGTTTGAGCCCTAAACTTCTTAAAACATTTCAACACCCCAGTAGCTTTGAGTTTCTTGTTCTGTTGTGCTTCTTCATTAGCAATTTCTTTAATAACAACTCCAAAAGACATAGACTTTGTCTTCAACTTCTTATACTTCTGAACATCAATATCAGGAACAAAAAGTTCTTTAACAACCTTTGTAGAAATAGTTGGCACTTCCTTATCATAACCACCTTGAACTATCTTCTCAGAAAAATATTTTGCAACCTTCTTAGAACCACTTTTTAGAGACTTCTCAAAAACAGTCTTTGTATAAATATCTTTATCAACAACTTTTGGCTTCGATGTTGATTTCTTGTTGACAACATTAGAATCCTTAGAAAAACAACTAGATCATCAAATATAGACTTAGGAATATGAAGATGTGAGAATTGACCAACCTCAACACCTTCAGAAACTAGAATTCATGCTTGACTATAAGCTTCTTGTAAACTCATCCCATAATAGCGAAGCATAATCAACATTCATCCCATAATATAACCCCGCCATAATAGAATAACATTGCAGTTTTTCCTTGTCTAGACCACAACTCCTTCCAGTTAAACATCGAAGGGTAACTCCAAAGAAAAAACTCCACACACTAGGAAGATTTGACTTCTTAAAACTGCTAACCAGTGAAATAATAGGCTGATAACCCATTTCATTAAACATTTGAATTACCTGTTTAGACGTATGAACTTCAATTGAACCCTTCGATGGTAGTTGAAGGATTTAGGCAAACTGCTTCTTATGTAACCTCTTGTTTCCTATGGATTCCATCTAAAACGTAACAACTTCGTCTGTCTTATTGTATACTGCGGTAGTAGCATGAAGTGATATCCAGGTCATTGGAAAGGAAAACAATGCAGTTAGAGCATGAGCAAGTATAGAATCATTCATAAATTAAAACCAACATCTTTAACTCTTCAGGATAATCTTCAATCGAAGAATTAAAACAGACGTTGTTGGATTGAAACTTCACATTAGGCACAAAAACCTCATATTCAGTTGTTTTGAATTGATCGACAACAATATTTGTAGTAGACATGCTGATAGAGAAGAAAATTTCGATTATGAACAAAAAGTAAGGTTGGGGTTCTTGCGTAAATGTCGGGAATTAGAAAGATTGAATTGTATCACCAAGTCATCTTTTATAACCGACGTCAAATTCAAATTCAAACCAAGAGCCATTGAACAATCGCCATGTATAAAGTAAGTAACTTAAGCAACATTAACCCCCTCCTCCATGTGTACATGTAATGAGTACTTTTCTCGATCCATGATAAAGCAATTGGAACGTCACATCCCAACGCTTACTTCGTTATCACCAATAGAATCAAACAGCCACCATTCTTCAACATTTTCCATGGACCAGACTTTGACAATTAAGGTTGAGCCTCATTCACTTATGTAATCATAAGCTAAATTTACGAAATTTTGGTATGCGTTGATAATACCCAAACCCTCGAGGATTTCAGTGCCAACGTGTTCCAAAAGAAAAGATAGAATTAAAAAGAAGAAAACTTTAGAGAGTGTGACATCAAAGAAACTTTGATATAAAGGCCGTAAGATCGCAGGAAAAGATACTTGCCCTTCGGTATCCAGAGAGACGTCGAAGTGCTTGTATGGTTTTCTGTGAACTACAATCGAATACGGCCTCTTCTAATAAAGTATCGAAGGTAGGCTTAATTTTCAAACAAGGTCGCAACTTAACATAAGAGCATAACATTGTAAGAAAATACTTGTGTGATCAGTGTAATCATTATCAAGTAAGCTTTGGAAAATTTTAGGTAACAAGGTTCAAATTAAATGTTCATATGGATATCTCATTTTATAAAAAAAATTAAAGAGCTGGATCTGTTGGGAAGAAATTACTTGGCATTAGTATGTTTTATTAACATCACACATAAGAAATAAAAATGAGATTTTGAACATTTTAAAAGGTACATCAAAACATGAGGTTTCATTCATCAATTCCTGGTAAAAACTTAAACAAAATAAATATTCGTTGTTATTTCCTTAAGGTGTAAGGTTTGTTGGGTCTCGTCCTTAACATGGTAACTTGATTTAGGATCATAAATACAATTTTTTTTGGCACACTTACATCCTAGTTGTTTTTTACTAGAGACGTCTTGGGATATGTGTCATTGTATGTGCACGTGTAATAATTTTAGGGTGAAAAAGATTGGTAAGAGAATTCATTGTACCTCTGTGAAAAATTATGACCAAGCAGTCATCTCTTAACTCAAATTGAGAAGAGAAATGTAGCTCTAGGACTATTGTTAATACATCCTATTGGGAAGAAATTTTTAGAAGAAAATATTCTTTAAGGCTTCGCAGACAATGAGTCAATGAGGCTTTGGACAGCATGATGCAACATGTTTCTAAGAACACTTAACTAATCAATGAGTTGCGAATGTTACCTGATCCTTGTCGAGCTTTGCTTGTGCATGCTTATGAACAACATGTGTTACAATGAACTTCTCAATCAAGATAAAGAAATCAAAAATAAAGAAAATATTTTGAATTTTCAAAATTTTGAAATAAATGACAAAAATAAAGAAAATCTTTTTGGATTTTTGATTTTTAGAAATAAAAGACAAAAATAAAGAAAATCTTTTTGGATATTTGATTTTTAGAAATCAAAGTCAAAAATAAAGAAAATCTATTTGAATTTTTGAAATTTAGAAATAAAAGACCAAAATAACGAAAATCTTTTTGACATTTTTGAATTTTTCTATAACAACAAGGAAAATAATACCTTTGTTAGTCCTTCGCTAATGATATCGAATAGTTCCGCAAAGGATCTGTGATTAAACCATCTTTACATAGTTACTAAAAACACAAGTAGACATTCGCTACTTCTACGCTAATGATAGAGAATAGTTCTCAATGAGACCTTCGCTATACATTCGTTATAACCTCAATAAAGCCTTCTCTACACATTCGCTTGTTGGCAAAAATCACTGAACGACTCAGAGAAAATGTCGAAAATGAAGCATATCGAAGCTCTGAACATGAACAGCAACCTTTGAATGAAATTGTATTAATAGCGAAGTTTAGGCCAAACCTTCTTTATTCAAAGACAATAAAAACTAGTTTGAGATTGGAACATTACAATCTTCCGTCATTCCTAATCCATTTAATATTCTCAGAAAAGATTTTTCATCAAGTGGTTTAGTGAAAATATGTGCCAAGTGCCAATTGGTCTGTGGTTTTAACAAAATGAACTTCGATATTGTCATCCTGAACATGATATTTGATGAAATGGTATCAAAGGGCATAAAATTCGTTTTAGAATGATGAACTGGATTACAAAAAATGCGAATTGCACTTGGAGAATCACAAAAAAAAGGAATTTTATTCATGTTAATTGCATAGTCACACAATTGACTTTGAATCCAGATCACTTGCAAAATACAAGCAATAATACCAATATACTCAACCTCCATTGTAGATATCGATACACTTGTCTGCTTCTTTGAGTACCAACTCACAAGTTTTCCACCAAAAAATGACATCTTATAGTGGTAATCTTTCGATCCAATTGGTAACCCGCTAGATCCGCATCAAAAAATTCTTGAATGAAAAATCATGTATTTGCTGGATACCACAATCCAAAAGTTAGAGTTTGATGTAAATATCGAAAGATATTCTTAACAGTTGTGAGATGTGGTTCTTTGGGATTCGCTTAGTACCTAGCACAATTACAAACCAAAAATATAATATCACGTAGAATTACAGTGAAATACAATAGGATGTCTTCAAATCAACAACTGGCTTATCCAATGAAGGACATAAGCGAGAGTCGAATGCCATAGGAACCTTCGCATCTGAACAATTTGTCATTGCAAAGCACTCAAGAAAGTTTCTCGTATAGTTCTCTTAATTTATAAAGATTCCTTCTTTACTTTGACGAATTTTCAGTCCCAAAAAGTAATTGATCTTACTCATCATATTCATCTCGAATTGTCTTTTCATTAATTCTTCAAATTCCTTTGACAACGAAGGGTCAGTAGAACCAACAATTATATCATCGACATAAATTTGAACAAGGATGAGATAATACCCGACTTTCTTTCGAAATAATGTGGGATCAACTGATCCCTGCTTAAATTTAGCGATTTTCAAAAAATTGGATAAAGTGGCATACTAAGAATGTGGTGCTTGTTTGTAATCCATAAACAACTTTGTCAAGGATATAACAATGATGAGGAAACTTATCATTTAGAAATCCTGGTGGTTGCTCAACTTAAACATTTTCTTCAAGTACACCATTGAGGAATGCACACTTTACGTCCATTTTGTAAACATCAAAGTTCCTGTGAGCTGCATTAGCAAGAAAAATTTGTACTACTTCGAGTCTTGCGACAGGAGAAAACGTTTCATCATAATCAATTCCTTCTTGTTGAGAATAACCTTTTGCAAATAATATTGTGTTATTGCGAACCACATTACCTTCTTTATCAATTTTGTTTTTGGAAATCCATTTTAAGCCAACCACAAAAACATTTTATGATTTAGGAATTAACCTCGAAACTTTGTTTTTTTTTCAAATTCAGCCAATTCAGATTGCATTGCAACAACCCAATCAAGATGTTCTAATTCAGTCTTGACTGTTTTTGGTTCAATTTTCGAAATAAAAACATTGAACATGCAAAACTCTTGGCGGATATTAAGAACTTCGTTTCTAGATCTAACATGTGCCCGGGTTATCACACCAAAATTAGGATTACCAAGAATTTATTCTTTGGGATGATCACAAGTCTATTTCTCCATAGGAGGAAATAATGGATCAAAATCCCAATAAGCATCTTCAAATATTTCTTTAGCTTCTGCAAATTATTCTTTAATAAAAAGATTATCATTAATATCATCATTTTCATTACCTGGAGCGTCCCTATCATCTTCGATATGTGTTTGATCTTGTTCCCCTTGAACACATGAATCTGCTATGTGTTGCTCCCTCTCAACACTAGTATTCGAAGGTAATGGCTCTCCCTCGACTTGAGGTTGTGTAGTCATGTGTTCCCCTTCAACTTAACCAGATGTCGAAATTTAACCCTCCTCGACATTAACTCTTGGTGTAAATGATGAATATGCATCCGTTCGTTCATTAGTTATTATTGAGTCACTAGAATGCCTCGATTATTTAGGTAATTGATTGTCTTCGATGTTCACCACAAAATCAATTGCTCTGTCGGGAGTACCAAAAATCAAATCAAAATCAACATCGAAAGTAAGTAGTTGCCCAGATTCCTCATTAGAATTAGAGAGAATTGGTTTCTTTGGAAAGTCATGTTCAACTCTTTTAACATAGTAATCATCGAATGTTATATTGAAATTTTCTTCAACTCTTCACTTTCGTTTTTCATCACCTTATATGCTACATAATTATGTGAATATCGAAAAAAGATTCCTTCATCAACCTTCGTCTGAAACTTTGAAAGATTATCTTTTAGATTCATGATAAAGCATCTGTAAACCAAAAACATGGAAAAAATTGACACTAGGTTTCCTTTTGTTAATGATTTCATAAGGTGTGATGTTAATTCGATGAATAAAAGAGCGTTTTGAGTGAAATAAGGTGTAGAAATTGCTTTTGCCAAAAAATATTGGGGCAGATTGGCGTAAGTAAGCATAGTTCTTGCAGCTTCACACAAAATCGATTTCTCCTTTCGACAACACCATTTTGTTGTGGAGTGTAAGGAGACAAAAAAATTATGAGAAATTACAAAATTTGTAAAAAAATGAACCAAGAGCATGATTTTTGAATTTCGTTCCATTATCACTTTTGATACGACGAACTTTCTTCTTCAGACCTAACTCAATGTTTTTGATGAAATCGATCATCACTTGAGCAGTCTCAGATTTCTGTCTAAGAAAATAAACCCAAGTAAAACATGAGAAATCATCTACTATAACAAGTATGTACTTCTTCCCATTGAAAGACTCAATAGTCAAAAGACCACACAAGTCAATGTGTAGAAGTTCCAACTGTTCAACAATCTTTGAGTCGATAACTGTAAGATGAACTTGTCGATGTTG